TGAGGTTGAAGAAGAAGATTTAACAGAGAACATTCCTCTGAATGATGATGAAATTCTAGATCTCGATAGTAATGCTAGATCTATGAATGAGGAAGCTGAGCTGGATAAAGTAGATTCCGATCTCTCATCCAAAAGAGAAGATGAAAATCTTGAGTTGCCTCCTCAAAAATCTTATGCTAGTCTGTTTACTGATAATAGAAAGTGCGGTAATGGCTTGAATCTAAATTTTATTCCACCAGCTCTAGATAATGCTGCAACTTTCTCTAAGGAGGAGTGGTGTGAAGGTGAAGACTACTGGAAGTTTGCTCTAATTGGGCACGTTATTGGGCTCAATGTTAGATTCAAATCTATGGAATCATATGTCAATAAAGTTTGGGGACAAATCTCTATCCCTAAAGTTCATTTAATCAAACAGGGGGTTTTTCTATTTGAATTCCAATCTGAAAAATTTATGAGGGACATATTGGAAGCTGGTCCTTGGTTCTTTGGGGCTAGGCCTTTGGTTCTTAAACCGTGGACTATTGATGCTGATATTGACAAAATGCAGGATTATTGTTATCCTATGTGGATTCAACTTCCAAATCTAAGACTAAATCTATGGAGTCCTACTGGGATAAGCAAAGTGGCAAGTATTATAGGGAAGCCAATCACCACTGATAAGCTCACAGCAACAAGGCAAAGATTATCATATGCTAGAGTGCTTTTGGAGGTTAAACTGCCTTTGAAATCTCCCCTTCCTGATCAACTTACTATTAAGGGACCTGATGGTGTGAGTTTTACTCAGAAAGTAATATATGAGCTGAAGCCAAGGTGGTGTGATATGTGCAATATTATTGGCCATATGACAGACCAGTGTCGAAGGAAAACTGGTAAGAAAATATGGGTTCCTATTGTTAAACCGAATGTTCCTGTTGGTGCACATGCACAGCAAACCACTACTGAAGTTTTGAATGGTATTGATCCTGATAAAGGAGGATGTAACTCTGCTATTGATAATAGAATGCAAGCATCTGATAAGATTACATCAAAAGGAACTTCTGGGAAATCTCCTGAAGTTGTAAGCAATACAACTCACATCTTACAAGCAGTCAGGAATGCAACTGACACTGGAGTGAATAGTACTGGGTTTTCTAGTATTAACAAAGAAAATTATGAAAGAAGAGCAACTTCAAAAGCAAATGAGGCAGGGGTGTCCTATTTTCAAGCTTCACATTTCTCTCCCTTGATTTTTCAGGACCATATTTTAGACCCCTCTAACATGGATAGGGGTGGATCTGGTTTACAATGCATTTAGCTATCTGGAATGTTAGAGGATTTAATAAATCCTCTAAACATCAGATTATAAAGCAATTTATTCATCAATACAAGCTTTCTTTCTTGGCTCTTTTAGAAACAAAAGTGAATACTAGCAAGATACAGTGCATTGCAAAAAAAGTAACAAAAAACTGGAACTGGATCTCCAATGCTCACAATGCAAATAAAGCAAGGATTTTAATCCTTTGGGATAGTGATCTACTCTCTGCTCAATTAATCTCTTCCTCAAATCAATTCATTACTTGTGCTATTGAATCAAAAGATGGCAGGTTATCATGTCTTATCACAGTTGTGTATGCATTTAATGACATGACTGGAAGAAGGGAGCTCTGGCAGGATCTAATAGCTTTCAAACAGCAAGTCAATGGACCATGGATTATTGGTGGTGACTTCAATTCAGTTGCTGCAAATGATGAGAAAATTGGAGGTACAATCCTATCTGATTCTGATTTTGAAGACTTTCGGAATTTCATTTTGGCTTGCCAGCTTGTGCATATGAAAACTACAGGTTGTTTTTTTACCTGGTGTAACAAACAACAAGCTGATACAAGGATATGGAGTAGGCTTGATAGAGTTCTGATTAATGAAGATTGGGTTAACCAGTTCACTTCAAGTCAGGTTGATTATTTAGTGCCTAACTGTTCAGATCATTCTCCTGCTTTAATCACAATAGGACAGGAAGATTTTGGGGGGAAAAGGCCTTTCAAATACTTTAAAATGTGGAGTTCTCATCCTGATTTTCTTCAAACAGTAAAGAACATATGGGAGCAAGATATTAATGGTTATCAGATGTATAAGCTCCACTCAAAATTAAAGAAGCTCAAGCATGTTCTGAAGGATCTGAATAAAAGGAGTTTTATGAATATTAGTGAGCAAGTGCTTAGGGCTAAGGAGGATCTTAATGTGATTCAGCACCAAATGAATTCTGATCTTTTCAATCCTGATCTGATTTCAAGAGAAAAAATTTGTCTTGCAAAATATGTTAGATTGGTAAACTGTGAAACATCCTTTTATCGACAAAAAGCAAATATCAAGTGGGGGATTCAGGGAGACAAGTGTACACAATACTTTCATTCAATCATGAAGGCAAAGAGACACCAAAATAGAGTTCTGTCCTTATACACCGAAGAAGGAAACAGACTGTCTGATATGAATGAAATTACTGCTGAATTCATTGACTACTATGAAAAGTTATTGGGCACTGCTGTGCCTGTTGCTAAGCCTGATTATCAAGTCATTTCAAATGGTCCTATTCTTTCTGAAATTCAAAGTGATAGCTTAAGTTTGCCAGTTACAAGAGATGAGATTAAACAAGCTATGTTCTCCATGTCTGATGATAAAGCCCCTGGTCCTGATGGGTATAGTGCCTCCTTTTTCAAAGCTGCCTGGGATATAATTCATGAGGATTTCTTTCTTGCTGTTGAAGAGTTTTTCCACTCTGGTAAGATACTGGGTGCCCTGAATACTACTTCAATCACTCTTGTGCCTAAGGTCCCAAATCCAAAGACACCTTCTGATTTTAGGCCAATCTCATGTTGTAATTGTGTCTACAAGGTGATCACTAAGATAATTGCAAATAGGATTCAAAAGGTGATGGGGTTTCTTATCAGTGAAGCACAGAGTGCATTTATCAAAGGCAGAACTATTTCTAACAATATTCTTTTGGCTCATGAACTCATAAAACATTATGGTAGGAGGCAAACTTCCCCAAGAGCTATCTTAAATATTGATCTTAGGAAAGCTTTTGACACCATTAACTGGGAGTTCATTAAAGATATGTTGAAGGGTCTGGGATTTTCGGATATCATGACTGGTTGGATAATGGAGTGCATCTCTACTCCAAAGTTCTCCTTATCAATAAATGGCTCTCTTCATGGATTTTTCAACGGAGCTAGAGGACTGAGGCAAGGGGATCCCCTCTCCCCCTATCTATTTGTCTTAGGTATGTACTGACTGGTTTATAAATCTTAATTGTAATAACAATCTCTATTAATCATCGAATTAAATATTTTCTACATTAACAATTGCTAAAATAATAATAAACAAAACAATACTTAATATAAAATATTAACAAAACTAAGCTTAATTCGATTAATCATCGAATTAATTATGTCTTCAGGAGTTCAGCAGTGTATCTGGTTTAGAAACTAACCCAAATAAATGCTCTGTGTATATTAGTGGTGTTGATGAGGATCTTAAAGCTCAGATTTGCTCCTATTTGAACTTTTCTGAAGGAAGATTGCCTGTTAGATATCTGGGTATGCCTCTTGTTACAAAAAGACTATCATGGCTGGATTGTTCCCCTCTCATTAGCAAGATATCTGAACAAATACACTCCTGGCAAAATCAGAAAACTCTTTCTTATGCAGGGAGATTACAGCTCATCAAGTCAGTGATATTGGGTATACATGTTTTCTGGACAAGTAGCTACATTTTGCCGACAAGAGTCCTTCAGAAAATTGATAAGCTCTGTTCTAATTTTCTATGGAATAAAAAAATTCCTCTGGTTTCTTGGTCCAACATCTGTCAGGATAAAGCTCATGGTGGTTTGGGAGTTTATTCGGCAAGTACATGGAACTATGCTGCTGCTGCAAAACTTCTATGGATGATCCACCTCAAAAAAGATCTTTTATGGATAAAATGGGTGAATGAATACTATATGAGTCATACAAATATCTGGCAGGTTAGAGCAAGAGTGCACGATTCATGGGCTTGGAAACAGCTTACAAAAGCCAGGGATATGATGATTAACAGATTTGGTTATGTTAGAAGATTGCAAGATGTCATCAGTGAATGCTGTTCGAATGGCAAAGTTAAAATCTCCTCTATCTACAGAGTTTTACAGCATTCAAATCCCATTGCTGAATGGTGTAATACTATATGGGATGGGCTTCTAATTCCTAAAATTTTATCTTATGGTTAGTTGCTCAATCAAGACTCCTAACCCAAGATAGATTGTGTCGTATGGGGATTATCTCTTCAAATCAGTGTGCATTATGTTCTAACAATCTGGAAACCTGCAGACACTTATTTTTTGAATGTCAGTACTCAGCTACAGTTTGGAACCTAGTGATGGACTGGATGAATTTTAACTGGAAATCTTGTTGCTGGGACTCCATAATTAACTGGTTCAGCCACAATTTGAAAAGAAAGAGGAATTTCACAGAGAAATTAAAGCGGATGGCCCTTGCTGTGTCGGTTTACATGCTATGGAATGAGAGGAATCTTCGGATTTTCCAGGATAAAGCCAGGCCACCTGACATGCTGTTTCGAGCCATAAAGTTTTCTATTTACTCAAAAATTCTAAATGAAAATTTTCCTTTGTATATAAGAGATAGAATTAGAGAGATGTAACTAGGCTCTTTCTAATTTTGTGTTTCCAGGCCAATTTCCTGGATTTGAAAAATGTACAAATTCTCATTTGGTTAATGAATACAGCTATTTTCATCGACCAAAAAAAAAAAAAAAAGAAGTTACAAAGGAGAACTATGAAAATGTGAGTCGTAAAATTTAAAAATTGAATTAAACATTTTTAACTATAGTTACAAGTAATAATAGTTACAACATCTCAGTTATGTGCTAGTGTCAATTGCATTGCAACTATATATAGTTGCAAGCTACCAAAAGCAAGTATGAGAAGGAATCAATATTGAAGACAAGTTAATAACCTCTAACTAATTAATTACCTCATATCCTTTGGATACTCTGGCCACCGATTCCAAATCTCCTGCACCCTCGTCTCCTTACCCTCACTCGACGTCGGAACAATCATCGGATCATTCACTGCAAAATCAAACACTTCCTTCCAGTCCCTAACATTCTTTGTATTCTCCATATCATAATACCCTAGAAAATTCTCGTCGTCCCTCCTCACTCTCCTCTTCTCCTCTGTCGGCAGAGCGAAGAACTCCTTCGCTGCCGACTGAACTCTTTCAAGGAGTTCGATCGGGACTCCATGGTTGATGACTTGCAAGAAGCCAACTTCACTACAGGCTGCTTTGATTTCTGCAACAAGGATTCTTATAGGTAGCGTATCGTCACCGGCGATGATGGGACTGGTTAGGAGTGGAGAGAGGTCGATGATAGGGATTGATTCGGCCTCGAAGATGTCGGGGTTGGGTCGCTGGTCGGGTTTCTGAATGAAGTCTGGATCAAATTCTGAACCCATGTTCTTTTTTGCTTCTCTTGATCTCTCGTTCTGAGTCCCTCTAATATGGCTGTTTCAAGTTTCATGGGGACTGAGCGTGAGTTAGAGTGGGCGCCGTGTACTTTTCCAACTTTTGTCGTTTTATTTTTCTTGCCTGACACCTAAGCAACGTTATCATCAGCTTATAGTATCTCATTTTAGCTTCTCACGTTAAGTCCGTACGTGCTTGCATGGGTTTTTTTGATTTATATTTTATGGTTTATACATTATTTAAAAATGTTAAGCTATTTGTCGTTTTATTTTTCTTGCCTGACACCTAAGCAACGTTATCATCAGCTTATAGTATCTCATTTTAGCTTCTCACGTTAAGTCCGTACGTGCTTGCATGGGTTTTTTTGATTTATATTTTATGGTTTATACATTATTTAAAAATGTTAAGCTA